GCCTCCATCTCCTGGGGTCCCTCCGAGTGAGCCTCCATGCAGCATTCCTTCCCACTCCCAGTACATCTTGGCAGATCTGATCGACTTGCTTCAGCCATGAGTTCCGTGGCCTTCCCCTTGGTCTTCTCCAGCCTGGGTCAACCCTCTCGGAGATGACCCTATGAGCCGGATCTTCCTCAGGGAAACGAGCCACATAGAGCTGAAGTTGGCGCTTTCGTATCAGACTGGTAATAGGTCTTGAATCAGTCTCATGGAGTATCCTCTGATTGGACACATGGTCCCTCCAGGTATACCCCATGATTCTGCGAAGACACTTGGTACCGAAGGAGTTAAGACGGGTTTTCAGAGCACTGTTCAGTGTCCAGGTCTCACACCCGTAGAGCAAGACCGGGATCACAGTGCTCTGAAGAGCCTGATCTTAGTTCTCCTAGTCAAATAGGCATGCACAGACTGAGCATCGACATCCAAAAAGTCCCCAAATTCCTGAACCTTGGTCTTGGTCCAGTTGACCGCGAGTCCCAATGGCTTTGCCTCCTCATGCAGCGCCTCGAGAGCTACTTCCAGGACCTCTAATGTCTCCGCTAGAATCACTGCATCATCGGCAAAGTCAAGGTCTGTGACCTTGAAATTACCAATTGATGCCCCACAGGAACTACGGTTCAAGTATCCAGTCCATACAAGTGTTGAAAAGGGTTGGGGCCAGGACACATCCCTGTCTCACCCCGGCAGACACCGGGAAGAAGGCAGAGATGGCCTCCCCACACTTGACAGCACTCTCAGTATCTGTATACAGGCCAGACAGCAAACCAATAATTCCAGGGGGGATCCCACGGAGACCCAGTAGGCTCCAGAGACTCTCCCTTTGCACTGAGTCGAAAGCCTTCTTGAGATCAACATAAGCTGCAAGCAAACCCTGTTGAAACTCAAGTCGGCGTTCCACAAGGACACGAAGTGCTAAGACACGGTCTATAGTTGACTTCTTGGGTGTAAAACCAGACTGCTCAGGTCTCTGTGCTCGTAATAGGTGGTCACGCACTCATGCCAGAAGCAGATGAGCGAGGACCTTGCCTGGTACGCTGAGCAATGTAATACCTCTGTAGTTGCCACAGTCCTTTTGGTCCCCTTTCCCTTTCCAGATAGGGATGACCAAGCCCCTTTTCCAGTCAGGGGAATGGTACCAGTCTCCCAAACGGCAGACAGGACTGCATGCAAACCACAGATCATGGCTTCTCCACCCGCTTTCAACAACTCTGCAGCAATCCCACAGACACCAGCAGCCTTTCCACTTTTCAGCTTAGACACTGCCCTTCTCACCTCTTCGATGGAAGGTGGTGCCTCACTGATTGGTGGATCAGCCACTAGTGGCTGTGTGCCAGCCAATGGGAGTTGTGAAGACGGGGGATCTACCCTATACAGTTGCTCAACGTACTCAGCCCAGCGGGCCCTATACTCACTAGGCTCTGACACAATGCGACCATCCTCTGCTCTCACTGAGCCCGATTGAGAGATGGACTTTGATCGGAGTTCCCTCAGGGCTCGGAAAGCAGGTCGAAGGTCATTTTGGGCAAAATGACCTTCCAACTCTTCCATGATGCCCCTGACGTACCTCTCTTGGTCCACTCTCAAAGAGGCCCTAGCAGAGCGAGACAGCTCCTTGTGCAAGACATGGTTCCCATCCAGTCTGGCAGCACGACTCATCTCTATAGTGTTCAGTGTCTCGTCTGAGACAACACACCTCCTTCGCCGAGTTCCTCGCTTAAAGGTATCCCACAGTTCAGCAGGGTCCTGTAGAGTACCAAGCACTTCAAACCGATTTGAGACTGCCATTGCATACTCCTCGAGCCACCTCCTCACTCTTGAGCCTCTCGAGATGGAACACCTGCTGGTGAGATCTCGGGATGCGTCTAGATCTGAGGCGGAGCCTTAGTGTTGCGACAACAAGTCTGTGGTCGGTAGCAAAGAACTCAGCACTCCTAAAAACTCTACAGTTCTGAAGGATCCTCCAGCGAGTATCCACAAGAATATGGTCGATCTCTTTAGCTACAACGCCAGTATTGGAGTGCCAAGTCCAGCGGTGTAGATCTCGTCTCTGGTACCACGAGCCCACAATCCTCAGCATCCTAGATCTTGCGAAGTCTAAGAGGTATGAGCTATTGATGTTCCTAGTACCAGAGCCATAGGGACCGATGCATAGCTCGTATCCTTCCCTGTCAGTGCCAGTGACTGCATTGAAGTCCCCCAAGACCATGAGGGTGTCCCCCCGGGGACATTGAACCACTATAGAGTCAAGTTTGATGTAGAACATCTCTTTCTCTTCAAGCCCACTTCCCTCAGTAGGAGCATAAACTGCAATTAGGGATATGAAGCCCAAAGTGTGCTTCATTCTCACAAGCAGAATACGCTCGTCAACAGGGGTAACCTTCTTGACTGAGGAACGGAAGCGGTCAGAGACAGCCACCGCGACTCCCCTAAGGCGCGCCATTGCTACAGCCAGACCAGTAGTAGGTATAACCCCCACTACTGGTCTCACCACAACCAGGCCGTCGCACCTCAGAGAGAGCAGCGATGGCAATCCCCAGCCTCCCCAGCTCACCCGACAACAAAGGCAGTCGATCATCCTCCGAGAGACTGAGGATGTTCCAGGCCGCTACACGGCATGCTCGTCGCAGATTGACCCCATTTGTGGGGCTCCAGCCGGGCGACGCTTCGGCACAACCAGGCATGCCTCCCAAGGAGGAAGAGTGGGGGCCGGGGGGGCCATCCCCCCCACCACGTGGGGGGGATGGCTCCGACCCCTTCTCTCCTTACTTGGTTTGCCTGCTGGTGAGGGTTTTTACGGGACCGGGTTGCCAGCCCGACCCCAACTGCTAGCCAGGGGCAGGGACGCAGAACTCCCTGGGGACAGATTGCCCCTGTATATACATATGTATATATATATACATATGTATATATATACATATATACATATATGTGTGTGTGTGTGTATATATATATATATATGTATATTTATATATATATGTATATATATGTATATATAAACACAAATGTGTGTGTGTGTGTATGTGTATGTTTGTGTGTGTGTGTATATGTGTGTGTGTGTGTGTGTGTGCGTGTGTATGTTTGTGTGTGTATATACATATTATTACACACACACACACACACACACACACACACACACACGCACACATATATATATAGAGAGAGAGAGAGAGAGAGAGAGAGAGACAGACAGACACGACGACACCGACGGCCATCTCCGAGAAGCGCCTTCGTCGTTCACGTCGACACCGACGGTCATCTCCCCAAGTGGTCCCAGGCCTCCATCATTAAGCAAGGCCTGCCCCCACGGCAAAGGAAGATGGTGGAAGCGGCATACATACACTCAACAAACAACTTCAACACCGCTACGGGGAGCCACGAACTAGCCAAGGTCGTCGCTCACCTGATCACCAACGTGACCTGACCGCCCAGTACTAGTATATATAATTCTATGTATCTCTTGTTATGTATGCCCTGATGAAGCAATAAATGCGAAAAGGCCTTCGGCATATTCGTGTGTTTTCCTGATCTTCCCTTCGTTGTTCTTCCTGCATATACATGCGTGTGTGTACACACACAAGTTTTCACATAATTTTGTACCTACATGTACATCTACTGCAGGTGGCGAGGCAGAGGGAGCAAGGAGCCAAGCCGCGAGCCCCAGCGCATTCCACCGCAGCCGAAGCCGCAAGGCGCTCGTTGACCCAAACAAAAGGCGGCACTTGAGATAGGTCAGCGCCGCGTCGGCGGCCCGAGTGAGGATCCAGCTCGGGGATGGAGTGCCAGACTTTGCGCCGCCGCCGCCGTCCCGCGCCCTCCGCGTGACGCTCTCCCTCGCCGGCGGGAAGAAGGCTTGCGCTCCGGCGCCTGGCGACTCGAGCTCCTTTAGGCCTATTGCCCTTCTTTGGGGCTTTAGAGATACGGAGTCGAGGTAATTTCCTGGGTGCTTATCCAGTATTATGGACCCTCTATCAGTGGCTTTTATCCGGTTGTTTACGTGTGTATTCATACTTCCTCCTCTCTGTCGCAGAAAGGATAGGTGGTTAGATAAGAAGATAGATAGAGAGATAGATAAATAGAGAGATGGAGGGACAGAAAGATAAAGAGAGAGAGAGAGAGAGAGAGAGAGAGAGAACGATAAAGAGAGAGAGAGAGAGAGAACGATGAAGAGAGAGAGAGATAGAGAGTGAGAGAGAGAGAGAACGATAAAGAGAGAGAGAGAGAGAGAGAGGGAGGGAGGGAGAGAGAAACAGAGAGAGAGAGAGAGAGAAAGAAAGAAAGAGAGAGAAATAGCGAGAAAGAGAATTGATGACGCATGTACAACGGCAGGCAACGGACAGGCAGCATATTTCTTTGTTTGCTGAATGAAGGATTAAGGTTATGTATCCTCCCTCTTTATGGTGATGTTTATCGTTAATTTTTTTTGTTCTCTCTACAACAATCTGCATTGCTTTGTTTGTTATTTATGCTGATGTATGTGTCAAGTGCTTTGTTTGTTTGTTTGTTTTTGTATATACAACATTATCCAAACAGTGAAGTGCGAAAGGTTATCATCAATGCAATCATCTAATTCATTGTAAGTCGGAGGAATGTGTCATTGTTTTCCACGTTAAAGTTATGTAACCCAGTATTTTGAAGTTAAATCGTATGTTGTATTCCCGTAGAGTTTATTGTGTTTTGGCCTTCCGTGAGTCTTACCCAATGTATATTTTTTTGTTCTATTATTTTCTTCTTCTTTGCTTTATTCTCCTTATTTTTATAGTTTTGGTGTAGATAAGATCAACCATTTTTAGACATGGCATCTTTGGTTTTAGATCACAGATAAGGATTATTTGAGGAGAGAGATTATCCCTTCGTGATTTAAGCTTGAGTGATGGACGATGAGGTTGTTCCCCACATAGATGGGCTAATTGAGATAACTCATTCGGAGAGTGATTTAACACAGGACAGAAATATGCGACTCATAGTTGAGAATATATTCATGCATACTTATAAAACGTACAAAAATATCCTATCGGTATGAAATAATGATGTGGTGACAACAGGAGCTGGTGATGAGGATGCAGATGGAGGCTGCGGAATGAGATATCAGGATCATCATACAGGACGACAGGAGTGTGATGCCTAATGGTGGAATGTCATTTATGACAGTATTTACAGGTGATTTGTGGGTGACGTCGGCGGAGGTGGAAAGCGAATGAGGTGCGGCTTGAGATCTGTGTTCCCTCCACGGGCGGAAGGAGCTACTCCAGTTTGGCGTGGCTCCACAGGACTCGCAGAGCCCTGCCTGCAAACCGCTTGGACGCCCTGAGGGCGGCGCGCGCGAGAGCCACGGCGGCCCAGCGCAGCAGCAGGAGCAAGGCGACGGCGGCGACGGCCAGCACGGCGACCACGTCCAGCAGGAGGTACTGGTAGAGCGGCATGGAGGCCGCGGCGGACTGCAGGTGCGGGGCGCCGCCGTAGCGCATCACGTGCTCGCTCCAGTACACGGCGCGCTCCAGGGGCGTAGTCTCCTGGTCGCGCAGCATGAGCGAGCGCGTGCGCACGCGCGTGCGGAAGCCGTCGTCCTCCACCACGGCCGTGAGGGCCTCCACCAGGTCGTCCTCCGTCAAGGTCTCGAGGGTGAGCTCGCGCCCCAGGCCGAGGGTCACCGCCTGGCGCACGTTCAGGTGCTGGTCGCTCATGAGCGGCAGGCCGACGACGGGCACGCCGTGGTACACGGCCTCCTGCATGGACGACAGGCCGCCGTGCGTGAGGAAAGCGCGCACGCGCTCGTGGCCCAGCACGTCCTGCTGGGGGAACCAGGGGCGGGTCAGCACGTTGGGCGACAGGCCGGGCACGGCGGCGCCCTCCCACTTCCACAGCACGCGGTACGGCAGGCGTGCGAAGGCCCGCACCAGGGTGTCCCGCACGGGCACCGGCAGCTGCTCGCTGCGGATGGCAGAGCCCAGACTGAAGAAGACTGCGGGCGCGTCGGAGGCGTCCAGGAAGCGGCGCAGCTGGGCGTCCTGGAGGGCGCGGGCGGGCCGGCAGTGCATGGCGCCCACCTCCACCACGTTGGGCAGCAGCGGGCGGGGATGCCCCAGCGAGTAGTGCGAGTTGACCAGCACCAGCGACACGTTCTTCTCCACCTCGGACAGGGACACTGTGGGGTCGCCCAGGAACCGCTGGACCACGCCCTCGAGGCGGTTCAGCACCAGCTGGCTCCGGAGGTACGGGCTGACGAACCTGCGGGAGAAAGAGAGCGCGTTAGACGCCGGCCGGGGAGGGGAGGGGGTGTGGGCTCATGATTGGCATGGCAGGGAAGCGTGCATGACTGGCAGGGCGGGAGCTCACCTGACGAGGGTGTTCAGTGTGCGCTGCCACAGCGTCATGTGGGCGTCGTAGGGCAGGTACTGGTTGGGCACGTAGGCGGGGTTCTCGGGGTTGCCCAGCAGGTCGGCCGTCCACGGCGTCAGGCCGGAAGTGGTGACGTAGATGAAGGGCGCCTTGAACTTGTGCACGAAGGCCAGGCCGCACTCGTTCATGAAGGCGGGCAGCAGCACCAGGTCGGGGCGCGCGGCCCAGGCGGCCTGCAG